AGAGATCCCGTAGAAAACTTGAACGACGCTGGCGAATGACCAAACTTCCTTCTGATCGTAAGTTGTTTATTGAGGGATGTGATGCTGTCAACAACTTAATTCGTGATTCCAAGAAGAATTATTTCGCATCATTAATCAATGAGAATCAGTCAAATTATAAACAGCTTTTTAAGATAATTGATAAACTACTACAAAGGAAAACAGATATTCAATATCCCCCCTGCAAATCGCCCACTGATCTTGCTAACAAGTTTATTAAGTACTTCACTACAAAGATAGATAGAATACGGGGTAATATAACGTCTGCTGCTTTCTCTCATCGAGATACAGTTGCTGTTGTTGACAACGCCTGTCCATATTCTTTTGATACTTTCAAAATGGTAACAGCGGATGAAGTTCATAAATGTATCATGAATCTGGCTGCTAAGTCATGTGCTCTTGATCCTCTTCCTGGTTATGTTACAAGAAATGCACTTAGTGTTCTGTTGCATTTCATTTCCAAAATCATAAATATCTCATTGGAATCTGGTCAGATGCCTTCGCAACTCAAGGTTGCAATGTTACGCCCGCTCCTTAAGAAATCTTCTTTGGATCATACTCAATTCTGCAATTATCGTCCTGTATCGAATCTTTCATTTATTAGCAAAGCAATTGAAAAATTGGTAGCTAATCAACTTATCTCCTACATTAACGAATATGAGTTAAATGAGACATTCCAGTCGGCGTACAAGAAATATCACAGTGCTGAAACTGCACTTATTCGTGTTCACAATGATATTCTTTCTGCCATTGATAATCGTCGAATCGTAATCTTACTGTTATTAGACCTTTCCGCTGCCTTCGATACAGTCGATCATACCATCCTCCTCTCTCGTTTACGTGTACGGTTTGGGATAGCTGGGAAGCCTCTATTATGGTTGCAATCTTATTTATCGAATCGCACGCAATATGTCTCCGTTGATGGTGGTACTTCGACGAAACATGACCTTAAATGTGGAGTGCCACAAGGATCTGTCTTGGGACCCATTTTGTATTTGCTTTATACTTCACCGCTTTCAGATATCGTAAAGAAATTTAACCTGAGCTATCATTTTTATGCTGACGACTCACAGCTTTACTTGTCTTTCCAACCAACCGTACTGGGTGATAGGGATCAAGCGGTTTCTAGCATCGAGAGCTGTGTGGATGAAATCAGTCATTGGATGATGGTTAATCGTCTTAAATTAAATAAAGACAAAACTGAATTATTGGTAATTTCCGCTAAACATCTTCCAAGACCACTCCTTCACGAAATTTCAGTTGCTGGTGAGACTATCCCTTCCGTGCAAAAGGCGAGGAATATCGGCACTATGTTCGACAGCCATTTTTGCTTTAAGGATCATATTACTGACATTTGTAAATCTTCATTTTATCATTTGCGAAATATTAGCTATATCAGGAAATATCTTTCAGCGACCACTACTGAATTGCTGGTTCATATGTTTGTATCTTCGAAGCTGGATTTCTGCAATTCCCTTTTGTATGGCCTACCAGCCTACGCTATAAAAAGGCTACAACACGTCCAGAATGCCGCGGCGCGCCTCGTCACACTTACAAAAAATCATGATCACATTACGCCTGTTCTTTTCAATCTTCATTGGCTTCCCGTTAACCAACGTATTATTTTTAAGATTTTACTTATAACCTACAAGGCACTTAACAACTTGGCACCGTCGTACATTTGTGATCTGCTAACATCTTACACCCCATCGCGTCAACTACGCTCATCATTCAAGCACCTTCTGGTTTCTCCATCCTATAACTTGAAAACATATGGCGCAAGATCCTTCTCTGTAGCAGCACCATCATTATGGAATGCTTTGCCAAGTGAAATTAGAAATGCTCAGTCTGTTTCTGTTTTTAAACGTAGATTAAAAACTTTACTCTTTAGAAAAGCCTTTTATAATTAATATTAGCTGTCTTAAGTGTTAATGTTTAAGCTTTTTTGTTGGCGCCGTTGATCAGTAGGATACTGGCGTGGTATAAATCTTTTATTATTATTATTATTATTATTATTATTATTATTTATAATTAATATTAGCTGTCTTAAGTGTTCAAGTTTTTTTTTTTGTAGGCGCCTTTGAACAGTAGGATACTGGCGCGGTATAAATCTTTTATTATTATTATTATTATTATCACAAATATTCTTTTGAGAAAAAAATTGTAATTCCGGAAGACTTGTTCCAATTGCACACGGTGCCCGCGTTTTTAAAAACTTTAGACGCAGTATAATCAATATCACTTTGTTTTTTCCGTATTTACGGGCAATTTTGGTGGATTTTCAAAGTTTTTGAAAGCGATTTAATCGGTTGCCATGGAAACTGTATTGTTTACACTTCATTTTCTGTTTTAGGAGACTGGTGACTAGTTTTCGGAATACAGGAGACACTTTAAGGATACATACACAACCTTGTTTTGGTAAATTTCGTAGTGTTAAACGAAACAAAAAGAGATTTGTTAATATTCAATACACGACGAAGGAAAGCGCAGCGACAAAATCGTTCTAGATCGAGAAAAAGCAAGAACTAGACCCTGTGAGCAGGGTAACTGGGATACCTGGATGGTACTGGATCCTTGGAATCAAGTGTAGTGATACTACGGGTGTCGGACTAGTATACTGAAATAGTGCGCTCAAGTCTGGCCAAGGGCATACACCTATTTCAAAACATAGGCATGCTATGCGTGTAAGAGTTCCTTTTTTTGTAGGGTGGATGGATTACTTGAAACATTGTGAGTGATGTCTACATTCTTACAAAAGGAGAGAAGAATATTGTGGGAAAGAACGAAAATGTCGAATTACCTCACTCACAGGTATTTTGTGGTAGATTATGTGTGTTTAGCGAATAAATGTAACCAAAAATAAACTGTATTGGTGCCACGGATACCTGTTAGTACAAATTGCAGACAGCAGACTGCAGACCGGATACAAAATATAGACTGCAGACTGCAGAGTGGGTACAAAATGTAGACTAAGAATCTGAAGATTTTTTACGTCTGGTACATAATAACATGTCATCTTACAGCTTACCGAGCGTCACGCAATCGCTTTTCTGCAATCCGCCTTCACGATTATTTGCACTATTGTGGAATATTCCTGGCCCATCTCTTGATGAAAATCGATCGCAATATTATTTCAAGCCTTCAATATAGTCTTCTTACTTTGCGCGCGAGTTGGTTGGTGTGATGTCTGTACAGATTTTATCAACGTAATAAAAGTAGACAATGTGAACAACAGTGATGGTAAAGCAAGCTTAAAACGGCAGAAATCGCCAGAAAATACAACGGATACACAGGGTATGAGTAAGTTTTATTGATTTTACGAGAAAAATGTTCATATTTCGAAATATGTATCGTTGTAAATCGACCATACTTCGTTCCCTGTACTATTCCTTATAACGTGCAGTTCCTCTCGTAACTTAACACCGAGTCACACAACGCGTGACGCGTTCATGAGGCTTTCTCGAGACGTGAGCTTGGGCCGCTTGTGACAAGACAATTGCGTAAACAATATTTAACATAACAACATTATACACAAAAAAACACAGGGTTTTGGATCACGTATTTATTAAAAAAGAATATCCATACAACTACAATGAAAACAAACATAAGATTCACCTTTCTGATGGTGAAATTAATACCATTCGTACTGTTATCGTAGCTACGTTCCTTGCCATCAAGTGAATCCAACACGTCGTCTTTCTTCAAAAGCAGTTTGCATTCCATATAGTTATGTTCTTCAGTCTCACGGTAGTAGCCTTGTTCAATAGATTGCATAGAGTATATGCAGTTTGGTTTCAGATGTCAGATTTTGCTTTTTACAACAAGTGAACGTTTTTCAACTAAGACATTGGCATACTTAGCATACAAGGTATTCAAGGCTTTCATGGCTTTCAAGCGTTCGCGACTCAATCCGTTCCAAAATTACCGCTCAATAACATCTTTCAGTGTGGATTAGCCGCGATTAATACGACTTGTAAATGCGTCTGTTAGTATTTTGCGCGTTTGCGATATAATGCTCCAGGAGATCGCAATCCAAATACGTTGAAATACAAAATAACTGACCAAAGAGCTTTATAAGCAAAATCTCGTGTTCGTCATGTGACCCGGCCCTGTCTGTGTATGACAACGTCAATCATCATCAAGATAACACGCGTGATCAGCATGTGAACATCTCATTGGATCACAGTTAGTTGTCATGGTATTGAGGGATAACACGCGTGATCAGTATGTGAACACCTCATTGGATCACAGTTAGTTGTCATGGTGTTGAGGGCCCAATGACCTCTGGATACTATTGCGCAATTTTTCCATTTTGTGGCGGAGGAAAAAAAAAAAAAAAAAACGACAAAAAAAAACAAAGGCATTTTATGACTGGGCTACCACAGGTATCCCAGTAAAAAGTAGCGGAGAATCAGAGTGTGACGAAGGCCACGTGGAAACCGCCGAACACCAAAATACTGAGAAACGCTTGCCAGCTTCTGTTCGCAGACTTAAGGAATAGTACAGCGGTTTTTCTTTGCAAAAAGGAAAATTCAGCTTTATCGGAGCATACTTGCCTAACCAACCATACAATTGGGTGGGATAATTCTAAAATTATCACCACTAATCGGCGTTACCACCAGCGCCTTTGTTTGGAGGCTTGGCACATTAACTCCGCCCACGCTCCTTTAAATCGTGACGATGGCGGTCTGCTTCCTGACGCATATTTACACATCGTCAGAAAAAAGGCCGCTAATTAGTGATCATATAAAAGGACCTCTTGTTGCAGCGTTTAGATCACCCCTGATGAAGGCACTAGACAGGAGTGTCGAAACGTTGGGTCTATGAATTGTAACTTCTTCGGTTACATTCATTAAATCTGCAAACCAGTGTAGCATCAAACTATGTCTGATTGTCCACCTGGTTGCCGTGTGAACTTTAATATAAGTACAGTGATTCTTCTGAAAACTGCACCAGTACCAGAAGGACTTCGTTTTATTAACATTTCAGTTCTTGCCTCCGTGTTTGAAACTGTTCGGTGCCCATTGTGTAAACAAGGACATGCTGTTTTGGAAGAAGAGAAAATGGGCCTAGCATCTCTTCTTATTTTAAAGTGCTCTTCATCGAAGTGTAAATTTGAGAAGCTGTTTTACACATTTAACAAAGTGGTCAACAGCCAGGCGTTTGAAGTAAACAGAAGAGTGGTTCTGGCGACAAGAAATATAGGTGTTGGTCATCAAGGCCTTGTCAAGTTTTGCGGTGTGATGAACATGCTACCACCAATGCAGGGAAATTTATTTCAAGACCATCTCAAGGCAGTGAAGAATGCAGCTCAAACTGCTGCTGAAAAATGCATGTCAAAGGCTGCTGATGAAGTAAAAGGATTTTATGAACCAGAACAAGATGATGTCTACAACTATTGGAATTTCAGGGATGGGACCTGGAGGAGGAGGAGAGGTTTTCTTCCTGTGATGGTGTTGTCGCAAAAAAGGCTACTCTGAAATATTGAAGCAAGAGAGGGACCTACCAATGGAGCTGAGGCGTTTTAACTGTATTAGAAGAAAGAACATGTGTTGGTGAACTATACTCTAACTTCTTGGACCATTTTCTCCGCTGTCCATTTTCAAGGTTTCTGACTACTAAGAAACCTAATATCTCAAAAAGTATTTAAGATAATCCAATGAAAGTTTCCCAGTGCTTTAAGGTCTGTAAAAGCCGTGCAATGAACCACTTAAATGAGATTCTGACCAGTACTTCGACTTTGAAACAAGTATCGAAACAATTTTATTGTAATACAGTATTCCGCACAACAAAAGTCAAGTCATTGTTACAAATAAAGCATATTGAAAATAGAGCAAACAAAGTTCCAAAAATCAAGTCATTGTTACAAGTGAAGCATATTGAAAATAGAGGAAACAAAGTTCCAAAAGTTTTTATAATACAGTATAGACTCCAACAGTTTTTCTAACATAACCTAACAAAATCACTAAATTACAAAAAAATAACCTAACAAAATGGTCAAGTAAGTCAATGAAGAAAAACTTGATACTCAGGCTAAATTAAACGCTGATATCCAAAACATTAAAGTTTTCAGTATTAAGCACAAGAGTATGATCCGTAAGACTATAAAGCAACTGTCTTTCTAAAACAGTTATCCATAGAGATTACACCAGGATACATCTTTTCGAGTAAAAGGTGATCAATTTTGAAAATTACTTCTTGGTCATCCATCTTAATGACTATCTTCGCAACAACTTTTGTCTGACAGGACTCTGTCTTCATCATGTAGCCACAGTGTTTACAAATGATCATATCTGTGCATGTTGCTTGGATAATACCTTTGCTACAGTGGACACGTTACAAAATTAAGCATATTGAAAATAGAGGAAACAAAGTTCCAAAAGTTTTTATGATAGGGTAGACTCCAACAGTTTTTATAACATAACCTAAAAAAATGGTCAAGTAAGTCAACGAAGAAAAGCCTGATACTCAGGCTAAATTAAACTGTGATATCCAACACATTAAAGTTTTCAGTATTATACACAAGAGTATGATCCACAAGACCATAAAGCAACTCTCTTCCAAAGACTGAGTGATCCACAGAGATTACACCAGGATAGATCTTTTCCAGTAGAGGATGATCAATTTTGAAAACTACTTCTTGGAGCAGAGGGGCATTTTGTTGCGCATGTTCTGTAAATTTTAGTTTGATACGAGAGACCGCTGCTATGCGCCTGCGTCGGTTTCCCGCTCGAGAATCGCGTTAGAAAAGAAGCAGTAAAATACGTCGGAAAAAACGATGGTTCGAGTATTTGAGACAATCGTTCTTCTTATTTTTTCTTCTGTAACTTGGATGGAAGCGGTAAAGTCTTGAAATTATTGTGTGATGTGTGGAAGGAAGTTATTTAAAAAATGCAAAAGATTGTCCGAGTCTTGGCTTGTGATTGTCTGGGCGATCGATGTAGATAATGTTATTTTTGAAGGATGCAACTAACCTGTCGAAGCGCACAAAAGAATTGGATGGTATACTTCTATCGTATCATTGCTATCTCAAGTTATCAGTGATCATTTGAAGTACTTGCCTTCCTGTAAGCGTTTTTTAGAGCTTCAACCGTACTGCAAGTGCAGCGTACCTCCAATTTTGCAAAAATGTAAAGTTTACAGAAGTTTATGTTTTGTTTCAAAAGTTTTTTTTGACATGAATCACAACCGGCAGGGCCAATTACCAAAATAAAAAAGGTCAATGTCGAGTAAAGAAAAGAAAGTCAATGTTAGTGCTAGAGATATAGTAGCTCCATCTGGTTAGAAATGGAGGAATAATTATGGATTTTATCAGAGTAAGATAAAGTCTTTTCAATCATTAGTCTCAGAAATATCATCAGATATGATCGATGATGTTGGGAAATTGTGAATGAAAACAAGTACTAGTTTGGGCTTCCAGTTGTAAGATGAATAGTTAAATAAATCAATTATTACCCAGTAAAAATCACTTTCATTTATCATTTCAACTGCACAACAAAATCGTATACACTCTTTGCAACCTTATTCTCCAACCTATTAAATTACAAGAGTTGTGTGACAATTTGATGATCTGAAAAGACTCTTGCACATGCCAAACAACAGAGAACCAGTAAGGCTGATATTTAACAGTGAGGATAAAAAACAAAATATTTCCAAAAGCCTTTTCTTTTCAGGAATAAGACTAAATGAGGTCAGATTAAACTAATATGGAGAGGTTTGTTGATCTCTTTATGAAAATGGATGATTTACATCTATTAGATTTGAGAGAAATGAGACATGTCAAAAGGGGACTTTGACATTGCATATTCTGCAGTAATGGGCGTTGGCTTGGATGCCTATTTGCAGAAATTAATAGTTTTCAAGCCAGGGGTTTGGCTGTGCTAATTTCAAGGCAGAAAAATCATAAATCAGTCACTTAAGAAATTTTATAGCTCTGACTGGAAGCTCACACACTCTTAAGGAACAGGACAATATTTCACCTGATCACTCCTCATATTCTTTTCCCATGAAATTTAGACAAAACTTTCAAAAAACTTTATTGGTAATTTTATAGTTGCAAAAAAGGTATAGACACAAGTTGCATGTAGCATAAGCTAGTTAAGGCAAGTTGTGTGGAGAGAACAAAAGATCGATAATTTATACCAGTAGTAAGCTTCTGGTACTAATGACATTCTCTTGAATGCCAGCTTGCCACAGCAAATGTCACACCTATCCTTTCTGTCAATACCACCAACCATAAGTAGTGGGGTCTCTTCACATCTCCCTAAACAGCAGAGAACATAACAGTTAATTACAATCATCAGTCTCAATTAAGAAATAAAAATTAAGGATCAAGACTTATCTGGCAAAGTGAAATGCAAGTCGAACTGGTTTGAAGACATTTGAACCCGAAATTCGTTTTTAAATATGACAGAAATACTATAGTTCACATTCTAAAGAAACAAGGAGTTCCAGCCCCTTGAGTAATTATCCATTTGTTGTATCGCTCATCTCATGTTTTAAGAACCAGAGAAAGTTAGATAATTTTGATCTGTGAGTTTTATAGTACACTTCGACTCAAAATTCATTTTGTATGGCAGAAGTATTCTACTGAAATAAACAAGATAGAATGAGGCTGACGCCATCCGTTTCGAATAACACATGAACATGAAGAAAACGGCACCAGTTTAAACTCATGATACAAAGCCCACGCATTTTTTGAGGTAAATGAACTGGTTAGACCGAAAGCTAAATAAATAAACAATGAACTGACAGTGGTGAGGGATTTGGGGGCCATGTGATAAAACAAGTTCTACCGAAGTTTATCCTCTAGTTAGCACTTCAAGCCTAAAAGGACAATCAGAAAAATTTTCACCAAAACACAGCCACAAAATAAGATAAAACCGGAGATGATCAAGGCAAGACTATAATCGTTGTTAAGACACATGCCTACATACAAAGTACAACAAACTTGGAGAGCAAAAAGGCCAAATACAATTGTGAGCCATGACTTGGAAAATCCCCCTCAACCTCCCAAAAACGAATTCGCCGAAGGTTGTAGAAAGAGCAACTCAATCCTGAAGCTGGAACATTTTTTTAAGCCTTGTATCCTATGGGACTACAAAGAGAAAGAAGAGAAGATGTTATTTGAAGTGATTTGAAGCTTGGGGGCCACCTCGAACTTAACGTAATTTTATTTCAAAGTTGAAGTAAAATAAGATCAAATTGTAAACTATCTTCTATTATCGTAAAGAATTTCTCACGATCGCCTCCACACACCACTTCGTGATTCATAGAAGTAAGAAATCAACATCTTAAGACTAACCTTCAAGGTTTGTAGTCTCATGTGCACATCTTGATCGTCAGCAAATCAAATCTCAAACTTCAAGTTTTCGGTCTGTTTTCGCGTTTTGTTCGCACTTTGATCATTAAAATATCCTCATCCGAAGAGCCAGCAAACTCCACGAGTATCCACAGAGTTAGAAATGGTGGTAAACTTGTCATACTCTCTCATCCCTTTCCAAAAAGGATCACAGAAAGGTGTCGATCGCTCAGTTGAAAACCGGCAAAAGCGCGCTGAAAATATCGAAATGGCGCCGAACGCGCCGAACAAACTTTCTTGGCGCATGCGCAACAAAATGCCCCTCTGCTACTTCTTGGTCATCCATCTTAATGACTATCTTCGCCACAACTTTTGTCTGGCAGGAGTCTGTCTTCATCATGTGGCCACAGTGTTCACAAATGATATCTGTGCATGTTCCCTGGATTATACCTTTGCTACAATGGACACACTCTAAATACTTGGTTATCTTCTGTATGGAGTGAACCCCAGTTATTTTGAGGGTTTGTTGTGGCTCCAGGTCTTCGCTATTTGTTGGTAGATCACGTAACAGTTGATTGTCAATAGCTTGAATAGCTGTACGTATAGTGGTTGCAAGCTTCTTTCTTCCACCTTAGACTTTGACTTGAACATTGGCGAAGTTATAAACTTGGTCTATGGAAATGAAAAGAAATTATCGTATTTATTCACTTATAAGGTGCACTCGGTTATAAGACGCACCCTAAACTTTTGAAGACGATTGTGACAAGTAAGTAAAATGAAAATTTCACCTAAATACCCTGTTATAAGGCGCACCCAGAATTACGGGAAATTTTTTTGACCACGTCGCTGTACTTACAACAATTTGCTTCCAAAAGCTACTAATTACGGTGCTTCCATTTTCAAACCAAAAGCAAAAAAGTCACACATTACAAACAATAGCAAAAAAGTCACACTTTTTAATTCGCTCAAGTCATCCTTCTCAGGAAACAGCGTTTTAAGTTACAAGATCGGCACCTGGGCGTACCATTCTCCTGGTGCGACTAGGAAAAAGAGTTTTAATTAATTAATAATTATTAGGGAAATTTGGAAAAGTTATGTTTAGTTGCGCGAAAATACTCGGTTATAAGACAAACCCCAAGTTTTAAGCAGATTTTCATCGAAGAAGGATATTTTCTCGTGAAAAATGGTGCGCCTTATAAGTAAATAAAGACGGTATGTTATGTACCAGTCAAATCGAAGCTTAAACATCTCCCCACCCTGGGCACACCCCGAGCATTTGACAGCTGTTCCTGCCCGGGAGGGAGGGCATTTGATTACCACTCAGAGGGTGGGGAATTTTATCGCTTATAAATTCAAAGGAAAAGATTGCGTATTCGTGCCGGATTGGTTGAAAACCAAAGGCCTACACAAGCAGTGTTTCGTATTTGATGTTTAAGAACAATATTTACATGTATAACATTTAAATAAGTGTTGTCTAATAAACCATGTTAACATGCACAGCCTCAGAAGCATTATAGAAGCTACTGAAAAGTTAAAACAGTAATCTGGTAATTTTCCCAGTGGGAGCATCTGAACAGCTTTTCGGCCCAGTGAGGGAGGCATTTGAGCAAAAATTTTCCAAAAATTGAAATGCCTAGGGGGACTTCCAAAGCTTCGATTTGACTGGTACATTAACACGGGATTTTTTTGACATGTTTTAAAAACATTGCAATACCTACCAGTTTTGACGTTCTCGATGTGAGATTCCCAAATATCTATGGGAATCCTGCCAGATCCATCGTCAAGAAACGCCTCCACAAGCGTAAGTTTTTTGCGGGGACTTCCAACTATACGCTGGTCTTTCAAACCAAAAATCTTGCCTTGAACTGTGACAACTTCCCATTCTTTGAAGGTATTGAGCACATCTAACACTTTGGTATTTGGCGCTTGAGGTTCTGTAGGGGTTTGATGTTGAAATGAATATTCACTCTGTTGTGGAGTACTAATGTTAGTCATGTCATTGACGATAATTTTATCTTTCGCTTGAGTGTAGGTGAAGTAAGTGAGCTTAATAGGAGCGTGTCTTTCTTGACTTTGAAGAAGTAGAGGTCTTTTATGGGGGCTATAGAGCAGGGCCTCCACGTTCTTTGTCGCTGTTTGGAGTAGAAAGGTGCAGTAATCCAGAGTATTTCCCCTGTTTCTTCTGGGATTGGATAGGTTGTGGACATATCCGATGGCGGTTTCTTCGACCAACGCGACTTTCGGGCCGAAAGTGTCTCCTGGTGCTTCCAATTTCTGTGTAGACAATGGCCGTTTGTTAGATGTCGCAGAAGATTGTTTATCTGCTGAAGAAGTCGAAGAGATCTTTTTGGGCGATTCTGTCAAATTCTTGGAACTTTTTGAACGATCTGCCGTTGTACCTTTCTGATTAGGCATGGCGAAATCCAGACGACGGACTTTGGTTGGTAAATGACAGGTTAAGTTATCGAACACGCTTTTATATTGGAATTTAGGATCGGAAATTCTTGCAAACATTGACCAATGAGAACTCGAGAATTTCGATCCTTGTTCCATGGATCCACTCTAAGCTCAAAGCTCTAATACTTCGCAAAAGATGAAGTAAAAGTAGTACTGTACATCGACATTTTTGCCCTTAATATAAATACAAGCAGTGTGCTATGTGTGTTTATTGTAACAGAACTCTTTGAATGATTTCGTTTGAATACCATCCACTATTTATGCTCTCAATTCGATCTCAGTTTTTAGAGACATTGTTTCCTTGGTAGTTTTGGCATACAAGTCATACAGATCGTTGTAGTAACAGGCTGTTTGGAGGTGAATTCATTGCGGTATTGATTATCAGCTAGTGACACAGCAGCAAGCGTCGATACCGTGAAAGAAAAGTGGAAGGGGAGGGCTATCTTTTGAGATCGTTTTGCCACCGGGAAGATGTCATTGAAGTTTTCGAATTTTTCCAACAAACCGTGCAAGTCAGTCAGCGAAGCATTCATCACGTAGCAAGTGCTGTGTCTAAGCTGGGAGCTCTATTGTCCTAAGTAATAATAATGTGAACCGTTGCACTAAATTCCTTTCTTAAGAGTCTCGATTATGAAGTTTTTGTCGTTTGAAGAAAATGTGACCACCATCAGCTGCTCGAGAACTTCAAGACCTCGTGTGCTCACTAAATAGTGCACTAAAAGGGAATTTTTGACTTTCTTGTATGAAGCGAAACATGGATTCATCTAAGGTACATATTTGTTTCAAACTGAAATGTAGGCACGAAATGTCTCGTTGCAATGAACATGCTGTCGTATTGACAAGACTCTGACAGAGGGGTCATAAACTGGGCCCTTGGCCATAGATAATAGTAATTTCTAAATGTAGTCTGAGGACTCCCCCGAATTTGGGCTTCTATTTATATACTTTATAGAAAGCTGAGAGGAATTGATTCGCTGCGTCGGTCTCGTTCGTTGCATTTTACTAACAAAGGAAATTTGGAAGATATGTGACAAGGACACGAGTACGCAAGTAGAAGTATTAAGATGTCAAACGACATCATTGACGTATAGACTCACTGCTCGGTCAATATTGAATAGCTTTATGAACAGCTTTGGTAAGTTGTATGCAAAGCCTGTCGATGTCAGCTTTAATACTCCTCCATCTTCCCTCCATACCGATGGTTTATTTGATGCGCCAAAAGTTATGGAAGAAATCTTGCCACTCGACGAACGTAACATTGTTACTGCGACCAAAGGCAGAAAAGAATGGAAATAATTCCCTTGCCATGCCAAATCTGATGATAGATCTATAATTTTCACTTCTGAAGTGTAATCAGAGAAACAAAAGTAGGGAAAATCTGTGTGCAATTTTGAAGGCGCTCTCTACTTTAATCTTGGCGGAATCGAATTCGTGTACATTGACTAGCTAGACTAATTTATAATGGTAATTGAACTGAGTGGAGTGCAATTTGGGCTGCACTCATACATGTGATTTGAAATCACAGGTATGATTTCAGACCAAAATTGCACTCCACTCAGTTCAATTACCACTTTATTACATCCATTTTGAAATCGCCCAAGTAGTGGTCAGTTCAAATATTTTATTGATGCAGTACTGAGCTAGTTTGAAATTAAATTCATCCAATTTTTGGGGGGGGAAAAAACAAGAGTTTTGGAAACAAAGGTTGCAAAACTTGTCACATGATACTCTTTGTCTTTCATTTTCCTGCAATTACATGGGTTACTTTAAGCAAGCCTTGAAATCTGATTGGTTGTTTTTTTTCAGTGTAGCCTCCTCATTGCCTGGGAAAATGATGCGATTTAAAGCAAAAAATGGTGCGATTCGTGAATAAATCGCACCAATTAGAGCCAATCAAATTACAGGGACCACCAGTGATTTCAAAATGGGTGTAATAAATAACATAAACACCTTCGTCGTTTAAATTTTATCGTTCATTTCCTTATACGAGTCAGTTCCAGAACATTCTTTGGAATCTGATTATCACGTGGCAGTGTTAACGATTTTCGTCATACCTAGAAAAAGCTTCGTGACCTTTCGATTTCGGTTTTGTTCATTTCGGTTGTGTAATCACGGTCAGAAAAAACTCAATGAAACACTTATCTCTAACAAGTGTTTATGGTTGGCTGAATAAGTTTCAGTTTCTCTCACAGCTTTTCTTCTTAAATCTTGACCTTAGTTCTCCAAACTTGTCTCTTGTAATCCATGTCAGTGTTTTCCAATCTTAAAACCATACTCGACCGTTTTACCTCACGCGGAATTTGTCGTTTCATTCGTCGCAAAGTTGATTTGATATCAGCAAACCGTGACTGAATGACTCAAAATCACCTTGAAGTCACTTGTAAATCCTTTGGGCTGCGTTTCATCGACTGCTTGATTATTCCGTGATGCTACGCTAAATTTGTCATGAACATCTATACGCTCGTCAATTACTTATGTTACGTCACAATTACAAAGTAACTAATTACTTCACTGTCATTGTACAGTTCAGACTGGTTGATAATAAACTCACTCAGTCTGATCAAATATCAGCGAAATATCTCTGGAAAAATTCAAACAAACCACGAATAGGTAGTTTTTTAAAAGGCAAGAAGGGCATTAATTCTTGCTTTCAAGTTTGGCTGAGGTTTGACTTTCCTCCATCAGGTGATCCTTGAAATAAGTCGTGATATGGCAAGGCCTCTCCGTATTCCATGTACTGAACCAGCGGTGTGTCCGTCAGATGACAAACTTTATGTAATTCACGTTATCATTGAACCTGGGGAAGATGACCAGGAATGTCGGCTACTCCAACAAGAAGCGGAACAATTGAAGAACTGTTTAATGATTGATCAGCTTCTCCCCGAAGGGAATAGGCGAGGAACAGATGGAAAGAAAACTGTATGGAAGAAGCTCTTGATGCTCGAGTTTTCGTCTTATTGTAAGGACAAAATTGGTGAAATATTAGCCAGAAATGTCGAGTACAACGGTTCACAGTACTGCTTTCTAGGATTTTCAAAGTCACAGTTGAAAAAAAAGAAATGCTTTCTCATCGCCGAAAACGACATGCAAATCTATGAAAGAAGAGCAAAGTTTGGCAACTTAAGCAAGGATGTCTCGTTTGCCGAGCGCGTAGCTAAGGTTCAAAACATGTTTGAACCCTACGAATTAAGCTTGGAATTAGCAGCGGCCGAGGTTATCTTCGAAACCGAAGACGCGAATCCTGAAGAAAGTGGTTTTATGGCGCCTGAACTTGCCAAAAAAATCAATGAAATAGCAGCATTCAATCTTGTTAATGATCCCAGTGTTGTTGAAGTTATTTGTCCAGGATTTGCAGGTAAACTTCTATTGTCTGACGAAATTCTTGCCAGAACGACGGGTGACGAACATTCCCACTTAAAGGCCCTTTTCAAAACTTCTGCAATAACTAAAGACCACAGCAACGCACTTACACTGTGTATTATTGACTATTCCAAACCATTTGAGGTTGGCTACCTGGATATTTTTAATGTCATGCTTCTGCATTGCCAAGGTGTAGAAAGTCGATATCTACTGGAACTTCAAAGAGAACATCATAACCTTCTAAAAACACTGGAAACCAATTTGACCTCTGCGAAGTACTTCCTTCGTGTGAATGGAAGAAAGGAACTTTTAGCCCAAATAGACAACGGAATGACGCTTGAAGCACGGGGAAAGATTTCCGAAATAAAGGAGGAGGAAATTAGAAAAATGCAAGGGTGCAAAGATAGCCCGGAAGAGATGAAAATCCTTGTGAGTGAGTCGCGCGAAGTTTTGGGAGTTGTCGATCCAGATAATCAACTTCAACCCAACGAGTGCTTCTTTGCTCCTAACTTGGATGGTATGCTGTCCAATGAAAAGGAACGTTTTGAATCGGCAAAACAGGTTCTTGTAATTCTGCAACCGTGCTACTCTGTGTCAGATATCCAAAGGTTCAATCTTTGTCGCCGAATTGAAGCCTACGAGAAATTGAAAGATTGCATTATTTTGCCGTCGCAAACCGAAAAGCGATTTGTCTCCAGAAAGTACATTGTTTGCTGGGATAGTGGTCTCGTGCTTCAATTCTGTTCATTCCCCTGGAAATTTTTCAAGATTCCAAATCAAGTTTCAAAGTTTTTCCTCGGCGCCTTTCAGTGTTCGAATGTAAAATTGAGTGGTTCCGAATACACAGAAGTCATGGTCGGTGTAGAAGCTGGAACAAGTGAAGGAATAACGCCGCCCATGACTGCTCTTGAGCCGCACGAAGATGCATCGTTTCAGAAGGAGCTGAAGAAGCATTTCGCTGCATTCAAAAGCAGTGATGGCTTGATTTTAAGAGCAAAGTCACTTTTCAAAAAGTTTGCACTTCTCGAAGGATCGACGTCATGTTCAGTTTGTAAGCAACTCGGAACGTATTTATCTCCGAGTTTTGACTGGAATGCTAATAGAGAGAAGATCGACAGACATTTGGAAGATCTCGAAAAGAAATGCGAGAACCTGCATTCCCAGATGGAGAAAAGCAAAGAATCTGCAGAGGAAGCGTCTACTCAAGATCTGAAAGGACTACGTACAGCCATGATTAAAAATTTGAATGATTTTATTACGGTCACAACCGGAGGGCAGCGTTAAAACGCTGTTTCTTTTCAAACCGTTTAAGTAAGACTCCGTTTTTATCGATAAAATGTTGTGACAAGCTCCATGAGAAGTTTTCGAATATTTTTGAAAGGTGTTGCATGCTTGCATAAGTTCCTGCTCTTGTAATAGTCGTTAAGGAAGGCGCTGTAAGAACCATCATGCCTTCCTTTCTAATACTTGACGAAAGTTGTAGAGTCCTGCAAATGGAATAGAAATGCCTGTTGCTACCAAATTTCCCGATCAGTAAGTACACATTACACAGCAGGACATTTTTTTTTAGGAATATCTAGAATCTATATTCTGTTGAG